AAACCCACACAGTAAATGTCATATGCAAAATTACATGCAAATATCAGTGTTTTAGATTTGTACACTATATTATCATTTCCCTTATAACAGTAGACCCGCCAGTGCCCTTTGCCAAAGGAAGTTAGAGAACCCTGGAGCCAAGTATTACCATATGTATTTTTCAAATAGCAGCTTCAACACTTGAATAATAGTAAGAGAAACAAGATGACATAGCATAAGAACAAATGCAGATTTGGTTGATTTGTCTGAGTAGATTCCAGAATATACAGCAAAACTGATATCCATTATCAAAAGGTACAGAAAAGTGTCAAAGCTGACTAAAATGTATCTGCAGCAACTTTTTTACTGAGTCAAATTGGGCCTCAGATGTAGATTACAGTGAGTGTCGGCTCACTGTGGCACTGTAAAGAGGCAGGCTTTATAGCAGGGCTCAGTAAGGATGAGAGGCAGCAGGGGACAGACAGACAGCAGTGGGTGGAGGAGGTCTCTAAACCCAACTACACACCCCCATTGGCCAGCCGAAGCCCCTCCTCTCCCGCCTTCTAAGTTGCCTTCAGTGGGAATATAAAAGCCTACCCCCACTAGAGCAAAGCAGAAAATCTCATGGAACCATTCATAAAGCAAAGCTGAATGTGAGGGAAAGTCCAGTAAATACAGACTAAAGTGGAAGTAGGCAGTGGATAAGAATTACCTACTTCCAGGTGTCCACTCATCTACACAGCATAGACAAAGTTCTGCGGATGGGTCACAATATGAGAAACCTGGCTGAGATGGGTTTGTTAAAGAACCGGTCTGCTTTTATCTGCAGGCCCACTCCAGAGGAAGCACTGAAATGGGGGGACTCACTTGACAAGCTGCTGGCACACAAATGTAAGTTACTTTTAATTCCTCTTCCTTTTTTAGTTTATTTTATTTTATGTATCTATCTCATCTTCTCCAATCATCTGTCTTTTGTTTCAACATTTTTCCCATACCTTTTAGTGCAACAAAATATTAGATATTGGGTTAATCTAGCCATACAGTGTCTGCTTTAGATAGTGGGGAGGTTGTTTAACAAATATGTGTACTGATTTACTGCTGCAGTGAACAGGGGAGCTTGCAGCAAGTTTTCAAATCCTTTACATAGAGAAGGGGAGACTAAAATAGGCAACCTGCAAGCACACTTGCTATTTTTGTTTGCCACAATTCATCTTCCACAGTCCCAATCGTTTTGCATAGCAGAAAGCTCAGAGAAAGCCAGCACTACATGTGTTCCTCATTCGGCTATGTTGGCATTTTTATCCTTTCTCTTCTAATTTCCTCTCTTCCACCTCTTGCCTCATTACTGCTTACCAGAATGCAGAATGAGGTAAGAGATGACTGCATGCATTGGTTATGCTTATCAACGTGGGCGACTCATGGGAACGGAAAGGTGCAGACGGGAGAAGTGGGTGGACATGGCTTCCTGCTATTCTTTCTTCAGGATGCTTTCTTCCTTAGATCATTAACTGGAGTGAAACTGAAGAATGTGAAAAAGTGTCAGACTCATTATCTTTTTCCCTGACACCAAAACAGTCATGTCTTTGTTGATTCACAGCATGTGCATAGTGAGATGCATAGATGTCATGCTGAATAGTAAGGAAGGATTGGGTCAGCAGGGTGATGTCAGTTAATGGATGTTGAGGACTTGGATATGTGCTGCGGTGTTGAGAGGGTTTTTTATTCCAACCACATGACTCAAAAGGTTGTCGCAGAGCTATTTTAGGTGCTGAAACTCCAAGGAGGCCTCAGCTATGAGGTTGCCATGGCACTCTAGTCAACTCTCCTCTTGTTTATTCTCTTCTCCTCCTCCTTCCTGCTCTCTCTCAGATGGTCTGGCAGCATTCAGAGCTTTCCTACGCACAGAGTTCAGTGAGGAAAATCTGGAATTCTGGCTAGTATGTGAGGAATACAAGAAGATTAAGTCGCAGTCCAAGATGGCCTCAAAAGCCAAGAAAATCTTTGCAGAATACATCGCTATCCAGTCTTGTAAAGAGGTGAGTGAGAGTGTACACGGCTCTTATTCCTACAGAGAAAAAAACTAAATTTAAAAAGAAAACATGGATTTTCCATTTTTCCGTTTTTTAGAAATAACTGTAATCTCTCACATCTTTTATTCTTCTCCTTTGCAGGTAAATCTGGATTCATACACCAGAGATCACACTAAAGACAACCTGCAGAATGTGACACGCTCCTGCTTTGACCTAGCGCAGAGGCGGATATACGGACTGATGGAGAAGGACTCTTATCCCCGCTTCCTGCGCTCAGAACTCTACTTGGACTTAATCAACCAAAAAAAGCCCAGCTCCACTTCGACTTCACCGTCTTCATAAGAGACCAGAAAAAGACATAAGGAAAGAAAGAAAGATGATGAAATGGGGCAAACTTGAAAAACATTCAGTGAGTGGGTGGGATGTGAAGTTTGTTTGCCTTTTCACTTTTTTGTGTGTGTCTGTCATCCTGTCCACTTTGTTTATTGGTCGGTGTGGTGTGACAGTATGCAGCAAAGCTGTGGCACTGCAAAGAAATGTAGTTTACACATATACCAGGTGGACGGATGAATGGGTGAATGGATAGTTTGAAAAGTCCACAAGTGAGGGTGGGAACAGAAGCTGGAGGCTTGTCCGATCACTGTTGCTTTTTTATGTCAGTTTCATGTAAAAGAAAATTTGTTTGTGTTTTTAGGTTTTTGTTCAGTTCTATTGGTCAAAAGGAGGGGTAGCTCAAAAAAAAAAAAGTCCTGCAGACATGAAGACAGTCCGGTACTGTTTATTCACTTTGTGTCCTTTGTTTCCTTTTGAAACTTCTATTTTAAATCCCCTCATTTCCTCCATCACGTCAGCCACTTCAAAGTTGTTGGTACGACACAAAAGTTCTTTTTTCTTCCTCTTCGAGGTCTAAACTCTGCGACGAAGAGGGAAAAACAAATTGAAGTCTGAGTGAAAAGTAGTGTTGTGGTTCTGGTTTGCACACATCTCAGTTAAACCCTGACTTCTTTCAAATCTTCTATAAACCACTTTCACCTTATTCAATTCATATCATAACTATGGAAAGATACTGTGAGCATTTAACAAGGACTAAGTTGGAGACAGCAAAGAACATATCTGTATAAATAACTGATATACTGGACCTGTGAGGCGCCACAAATGTGCTTCTCTCTCATAAAAAGACTTTCAGTGTCACATTCACAGCAGAGATGGGGAAAAAACGACGACTTGTTTCTGTCTCCAAAGACGACAAGGACATTTACAACAAGGAACGAAAATTCAAGAAGATAAAGAACAAAAGGTTCCATGCAGATGAATGATATTTTCTTCAGCATTGTAGCTTGTTATGGACTAATCAAGGACGCATTCACAGGACATTGCTATGACAGGTTCCACCTCGGTTTATTTTCTCACCTGACTCTTGTTTTTTCTGCTCACTCACTGTTTCCAAACTTCACTCCCTATTTCTGCTGAGCAATACACAAGGCCTTCATTTCACAGTCAGAAAACAAACATCTCTTGTTATATAAAAGTTTGCCTAACTGACTGGATGCTTTGACACACACCCTCACCTTCTCCAAAGGACTCAGCTAAAAGCTCTCTCTTTCTTCTTGACCACCAAACAGGTCCAATGCTGTCCTGAACTTTAAGTGCAATATGTTTTTTATTTTTTGTTATTTTATTAATATTATTGTTTTGTTCATTTACTTGGATAATTTTATGATTTTTAATGGGGAAGACGATCGGCTTGAGCTTTGTATTAACTTCATTTGTTAAGAGAAAAAACAACTTAGAGCTATAAGGTTGACTTACAAAGTAAACTCTCAAGAACCGTAAGTAGTTTAATGAATTTTAAGCAAGTGATTCTAACTGTGTGCTAACCCCTGGCAGCAGGCAGCTGGGGGTATTATGGTTGTAAATATCATTCTTTAAGAAAACTATGTGACAACACATTAAAAACAAACAAAAAAACCAGGTCTCTGCTGGTGATGAGTATGAGACCCAGCTGTATCTATGTAAATATAAGAGACTCAGAAACTATAAGATGACATGTAATGTTAAACAAACATAGGTGAGTGAGAGCAGGTCCAATCTGCTCTTTTCCCCTGGTCATGCATTGCTTGTAAGGAGTTTTCTGAAATGCATTTTATCATTTTCACTGTTTACAATTCAGAATGCATCTCCTATGATAGAAAGTGAAAACAGTAGAGTACATTTGGTGTTACTGCTAACGATAAATAAACCAACCAACTGATGAAGTAAGATGTGTTGACTCTGGATTTTTCTTATAATGTACCCATATGCATATTTTACTCCTGCCAGTGCATTTTGGCCACAAACATGCCTGGCAGATGTCTAGAGCATCTTTAAAGCTCATTAATTAACGTATGTCATTAGTTTAAATCATAACTGAAGTGTAAAAATGACAAGTAGTGAGTTTATGAGTAGTTTTGTGTTTTGCTGTTTCTTTGCTTGGTCAGTAATTTCAAGGTTACATGAAGACTACCGTAAAACCAGCCCGGACACAGCCCTGCTAGCTAATATCCATCCACTTGCGAGGTATTCAGGGTATTCATGGGAGGAAACTCTCATCTTTCTGCAAGAAAGCAAAGAATTGTAATCCAAAAAATGTCAAATTATCCCTTTAAGCATTTAAAGGCTTCTCATATACAGTACAAACACTTTTTTATTACAAAAGCACTTTGCTTTTGCAATTTGCACTATTTGCATGGTTTTAGCAATCATTCCTAATGGTAATAAAACATTATACTGAAGTTAACTGTTGAGATCTCAGAATGTAGTGACAACAGTACAATCTGAGAGCAATATAGGCTTTAAACAAACATCACACATTACATACTGATACTTGGTTTGACTTTGACCTGTTGAATAGTTTTGTGCATTATCTTACCAGTGCAGTGATGAGTTTAACTAAACTGTCAGCTTGTTTGCAACCTGTCTCATCATCTAAACCCTCTAAGTACAGCATTATCATAACCAATAGAGAAAATAGCTAGAACAATGACAGAAAGGTATTTTGTAAAAAAAAAAAAAAAAAATACAATAAAATTTTTATTTTACATAACATCTGTGAACTCCCATACAGACTGAAAAAATGTGTTTATAGAAGAATCGGAGCTTTTGGGGCTTGGGGTAGAGTAGTGTTTCAGATGGTGATGCAGAACATTTCCTCCTGATCCCAGCTGTCTTGTTATTCTGAAAAGAACAGCAAGTGAGTGTGACACAAGGTTGAGTGTTTGCCAGGGTTGTTGGGGTGAGATGAGTGGAAGCAGTTGAAGGTCGTTGAGTGTGTATGTTTGTCTGTATTTTTGGGGGGAGGTGTTGATCAGCATGAAGTGGTGTAGGAGTAACAGTGCCTAATCTTCTTTTCCAGCTGCCATCTGTTTTGACAGACGCGGTCTCTTTTTCCAAAAGGAACTGCCACCAACCTTTCTATCACCATTCTCAGCCTGTTTCCGCACTGTCTCGCGCCCTGTCTTTTAACCCACGCGTATATTTTTTTTTACGCTCATCATCATGTATTCCAGAAAATTGAGGTTCCCCTCTTGTGCTGGGTTGCATTACCAAATCCATTTGATTAAGTTTCCTTCCTCTCCATCTTCTGTGTAAACCATATCACAGAGTCTGTCATTGTTTTCACATTCAGCTGTCATGTGAGCCCTACAGTATGCTAGCCTGCGCTTCCTGCCCAGATCTCATGTCTTGCTATTCCTAATATAGCTGTCAATGTTTCCTCCACTGTGACATCTCTTATCTCACATTCCTGTGGAGTAAAATGTGTCACCAGTACATAGCGTGAAAGCAAGCGTTATCTATTGACAGAAAGTTTTCAGTGTTATCGAGCATTATAAAAATATCCATGTTTTGTCTGCTGGACTACAGGGAAATAAGCTTCCTTTATTTGTCTTTATTGTTTTGCCAGTCTGGCAGTCTACCCAGTAAACATACTGTATAATTAAAATAAATAATCTCAAGGCTGGTATACTGTATATCTCCTTTTCACAGTTCTAGCATGAAAAGACAACTTCATTCAGTTAGAGCTTCTGATTCTGAAGTGAACCTTATAACAGAATAAAAAAGCAACAACAAATTGAATTATGGGAACTGTGTTTATTTTCTTTTTTGATAAAAGTTAGATGAGAGAAAATTGTCCTTAGGTACAATATTTGAGTAATTGTGCTGTCACTGTACCATCTCTGAATACCACTCATATATTTGTGAAGTATAAAGCTAGCAGGCAAATAGCTTAGCTTAGCATAAAGGCTGGAAGCAAGAGGCTTTTTGTTTAACATACATCTTATATTGCAAACAAGATACAAGGCTTTTTATCTTTTTATTTTTGTTTTTTTTTATTTTGTTTTATTATTATGTGGGTTTTTTGGGGGGGCGGGGGCAGCTAGTTATTTCCCTCTGCTTCCACTATGCTAAGCTAACCAGTTGCAGGCTGTGTTTTCTTTTTTAACAGACAAATATGCTCTAACTCTTGGCAAGGCAAAGAATAAGTGTAGAAAATTTGCCAAATATGGAACAATTCCTTTGAGTGGACATTATAACACAGCTCATAAAAAACTTTTAGGAAACTATTTTAATTTATAAGAGCAGACGTTTGACTCTGTCCAGGACCACCTCAGACTTTGGAAATAAATCAATAGTTGTTGCACAAAGAATGACTTTTACAACCACTGTGCACAGTGCATAATAACCCCATCTTTGTCTTTTAACATTTAACCCTATAAAACCATTTCTATCATATTTGCTACACCCCAAAAATGCCCCATGTATCAAATGTGATATAAAAATAAAAATAAACAAAATAATATGGCACATTTATTCCTATATGCCTGGACTGTCTGTCTATGCATAAATACAAATACAAATCTTGAATCTTGAATTTTCTTTTGGATTTTGTTATAAATAAGCATCTCAGTATGTTCTGGCTATTTTTAATGTGACAGGCTTTGCAGGGTTAATCAATGGATGAATTTCTGATCCATAAATAGGAAAATATGAATGGTAAAATAAGATAATTCTTGCTGCATCCCTGGGCACGAATTTAATGGTTTGTTTTTCATAAGTTTGTATAGTTGTACAAAGGCTTACTCAAATAAAAACATGGAACTGTAACTGAATGACTGTTAAACATGTTGGTTTTTATGCAGCTATCAGGTGACTTCATGTAACTAACCATCTGAAAAGCAAATTTTTAAATTGTGTATCTAATATTTGTTTTTAGCACCGTGATCTCAGAAGACCCATAATATGCAGTTATGCTGAATTCAGTGGGATTTCCCCTCTTGTCTCTTTTCCAACTGTGCAGCACTAAAGGGGCTTACGCCATGATTAATCCTTAATTCTACAATCAGCCCAACTTTTCAATTCTTTGCCAGTTTTCAAAAGTAACACCATGTGTCCCCTGATTTCCTTGTTGACTAATTGGACCCCTCAGTTATTTTTGGTGTGGAGGGATTTGTGTGTGTGTGTGTGTGTGTGTGTGTTTTTTACATACTGGATGGAGCAGCATTCATACTGTATGTTTACACTAATAAGTCTCATCCACACAATTTAGCACAATATATATTGGAAAAATTGGAAAGACTGGAGTGTCTTATCTATTTGAATAGAATTATTCATTTCATTTTCTGGCATAGCATTCAAACTGATGTCAGCATGCACATCAAGATAAGTTGATTTTCTTCTACTCTTGTAAACATTCCAGCTGTCAGTTCACAGGTACATGTTTCCAGATTTTCTTCCATCTGGCACAAATGTAAACATATATTCTGAGCTAAGGGGTCCCTAACTGTGCTGAGCTCACCTTCACTATGGAACATTTTGCACATTACCTGCCTCATGCACAGCTACAGTGCTTGTCTAGTTTTCAATTATAAACACTTAGCTTACGCAGATGTCATCTTTGCTACTCGTGGATGCAATAGACAGAGGAAGGAAGCAGAATTTAACTTATCTCTTATCTGAGTGGTTCATAATATAAATGGCCTTTATACAAATACACAAGTTTATACAAGTATTGCTGATATTTTTTTGCCAAATAGAAGCAAATAAATAGTTTGACATTTTATGAAATACACTTTATTGCTTTCTTTTTGAGACTTACACACAGTATCACTCTCATGTACACGTATGTCAAATCAAATCAAATTAAATTTTATTTGTATAGCGCCAAATCACAACAAAAGTCATCTCAGGACACTTTACAAAGTAAGGTCTAGACCTTACTGTTATCAATATTATTACAGCGGGAAAACCCAACAAATCCCCCTTGAGCAAGCACTTTTCAACAGTGGGGAGGAAAAACTCCCTTTAACGGAAGTAGAGCTCCAGGGCCAGGGCAACCTGCAGAAAGGTACAGGGAGAGAGAGAGGACACACTACGGGAGAGAGGAGACACAAAGTTAGTAATGTGTAATGGTGGCATATAGAAGCATAGGAAGAGAGAGGAGAGGAGAGCAGAGCAGGAGGGGAGGGGAGGAGAGAGGAGGAGAGAAACTCAGAACATCATGGGCCCCCCCAGCAGCCTAGGCCTATAGCAGCAATTTTACAGGGAGCCAGTGGAGAGAAGCTAATATGGGAGAAATATGATCTCTCTTGCTAGTTCCTGTCAGTACTCTGGCTGCAGCATTTTGTATTAACTGGAGGCTTTCTATGGAACTATTGGGACATCCTGATAGTAAGGAGTTACAGTAGTCCAGCCTGGAAGTAACAAATGCATATGTCCAATAAATATGAAGCTACAGCCAATTGCTGGTTAACCTAGGTTAGCATAAAGACTGGAAACGAGGGGAAACAGCCAGTGTGGCTCTCTCTCTAAAGCTTATTTGAAAAGGCGCTCACAAATGAAAGCATTACAGTATAAGTTTTGGTTTTAGAGGGGGTTAGTCTATGCATATAACTATTTCATGGCCAAATGCAAACTCACAGTGACAACCAGATTCTATAAAGTCAATGCCAAGAAGTCATGCCACACATACCCCTCCTTAAAACCAAAAGTTGGTGACTTCAGAAGTGTTTGTTGATGGATTTTGTGGTACTGTATAGAGTGATACTATATATATTGTATAGAGCCAGGCTATCCATTCCCCTTGTTTCCTGTCTTTGTATTAACCTTTGGTATCTGACTGCTGGTTTTAGCTTCATATTTAATTGACAGACATGTAATTGGTAATAACCTTCTCATCTAACTCTGTAAGAAAACAAATACATGTATTCTTAAAATATTACCTA